ATATAGATATAGATATAGATATAGATATAGATATAGATATAGATATATCTATCAGCTTTGCTCGGGTATTTTCCCACGTCATTGTAGTTGTGCTTTTAAAGTTGTAGCAACATTTCAGCAGAATCTCATCTGCCATCATCAGTATTGTGTTCATCTGGTCAGAAAGTTTCTCCTTATTTCCAGGTTAAATCTCTCCTTGTTCAGTTTCCATCCATTATTCCTTGTCTGGCCTACAGGCACTTTAGAAAAGAGCTTGACCCCTTCCTCTCTGTGGCAGCCCCTCAAATATTGGAAGACTGCTATCATGTCTCCCCTGGTCCTTCTCTTCGCTAGACTAGCCAAGCCCAGTTCCTGCAATTGTTCATTGTATGTTTTAGCCTCCAGTCCCCTAACCATCCTGGTTGCTCTTCTCTGTACTTTTTCTAGAGTCTCAACTGCCTGATTGACATCAGATTTTGAATCAGTGGATTTGTCTTTAAGGCTTGGACCTCCATTACTGCATTATTTAAGGCATGTTTAAGAATGCCACTTCACCTAGGCAGCCTTGTAGGCAGGAGTGGGTTGCTGGGGGTTTGCAGGGAGTCAAGAGAGCCCCTAGCTAAGATTCTGTGTAGTTCAGAGAAACCCAAAATCCCACTCCGTCTCTCACAGGAGTCTCCAGGTGGCCCGTTTTGGATGTAGTAAGCGCAGGGCATGTGCAGAGGCTCAGGGAGAGTAAAAAAACGGTCATCCCAGAAGTCCGGGAAGGTCAGAAATGGGCCCATTTCTGGTTTTCAGAGAGCCTCCAGAGCCCGGGGAGGCCGTTTTCACCCTCCTGGAAGCTCGAGGAAATCCTCTGGAGCCTGGGAAGGGCAAAAACACACACACACCCCGCTGTGGTGCAGGAGGCTGACTAGGACAGGCCCACAATGACCATGCCCACCCAGCAACTGGGCAGAGAACCTGTTGCTAAAATTTGTGAAGCCCACTTGTAGGCTACATTCCCCCCCCCACCCCACGCACTTTTCCATAAGTGGGCATTTCATGCTTCCAAGATTTGGCAGATGTCTCAGCTGTTTATTTTTCTACTACCTGTTCAAAGATAAGTCTGGGAAAAGCAGGAAGCATCAGCCGAGGGCCTTGATCATTATTCTGCATCATCTTTTGGTGGGAATGAATTTGATGAGAGTGGATCGTAAATGCTGTACTTTTCTGATCTGTGAGAGTTTTCTTCCAATTTGCCGCTGTTTCTCAATTTTAAAATGTCTCTTTCCATCTCTTGTCAAAATTACCGCTTCTGGCAATAGTTATTTTCACTATCTCCTTTAGCAGGAGCATAGTAATAAGATATTGCTGCTAGCCTAGATGATGGCAGACTATAAAATATATCATCCAAAATTGAATTCACATCAACAATAGAGAAACTTTGGTTTTTAAAAAAATACTCCAATGAATGTCCGTCTCCCCAGGTTACTGTTAAACCATCTTCTGTGGCACATGCAAGATCAGGGGTGAGGAACAATGTAGGCTTTGTGACTAGTGGACTTCAACTCCCAGAATTCCCGAGCCAGCATGACTGAGCATGACTGACTCAGAAATTCTGGCAGTTTAAATCACAAATCATAAAAGGGCCACTGTTTCTCCAGCCCTGTGCTAGATCCTTCTCTAATAGGCTGAGGAAACAGTGCAAATACCATCTTAATAAACCAATAAAATTATGAAGAGCTTCTGAAACATCATAAAGTATTACTAAAGCAAAAAGGCATCTGGTTTTTACTTAAGTTCTATAACATTTGTGTTGAAAAGCAGTGCTTATGACGGAACTGCTAGATATATTTATTTTAAGAAGCAAAACCAACATATTTGATTAGGTTTCTATTTGGAATAAAGATCAAATATGAATAAAGTGTTTTTCCTTTGATATTTATATTGTATTTGCTAGTGTGTTGCTGTAGTGAAAGATTTAAGAACTACCTAGTATATACAAATAAAGCTTGTCATGATAATTGTAGGTTTCATTCTGTGACTCTTGTTTTTTTATATAAAAAGATTTCCTTTCCCCAGAATTATGCAAAAATCATATCTTTCTAAAGTAGTTCATCAAAAGTTTGGATCCTCCATTCATTGAGGCAGGGCAACAAGTGGGCTTTGGTCCTAGCTTTAATCTAACCTGTTTGTAACCACAACATCACACCACTGAAAACCAGTGACAAATTGCCAATTCACAATGGTGATTTTTGTTTTGGGGGGGGGTATTTCTTCTAAAATAAAGATGAAAATATGGTGCTTAGCTTTTGTTTCAGTTAGTGGCTCATACTGCATATAAAACTCTAAATATCTCCCCAGAATAAGCTGCAAAATTTGGCTGTGTCTCTTCCTTTGATATCATTGCCCTGTTAAAATAAGCAATTAGTTTCCGCTGGTCAAAAACACAAGAGTTTATAATATTTCTTGGGAACCATATAATAAAAAATATATGGAGCACGTGAGGCTACTGGCAGGTTTGTAACAAAGGTTGAATTTAACATGGTGATGATTTTCATGGACATTTTTATCTACACCGAGAACTAATTTCATTTTAGGGTCTTTTTAAAAAAAACAAAAGGAAACAAGACATTTAGAAACCACTCCATGAAGTAGGATTAGAGAGATCTTTTAATCACCATGTAATTCAGATTGCATAGGATTACTCAAGAGGTCAGTTATGAAAGCTCTGCAATTATGATGTCTCACCTGTGTTTACTCTTTGAACCATATCCTCAGAGAATGTAGATAATTCTGACTTTGCCTTAGAGTGTTCTGTAATGTTGGAAGTTGGCTAGAATCATTTAAATCAGAGTCCCAAATCATTTTTCATTTTAGTCCATTTAGGGCAACAAATCCCAGACTTCTCATTCAACATGCCTAGATTTGTTGGGAATTTGGGGGCATTGAAGTTGCACTTCACCTGGAATAAGCTAAACTGAGAAAGACTGCTCTTAATAGAAAAATAATCTCTACTTAAGAACATAAAATTGGCACCAAATCAATTGCTATTGTGGGAATAGAGAGTAGCAGAGAGGTATGAAAAAATATAACATGTGCAATATTGGCAGGGAATTCAATGACAACTTTGGAAATACTGAAATAGATTGAAGCTTTCAGTGGTGAATAAATCTCTTTAATGGTTGTAGATTTAGACACTAAAGGCTTGATATGGAATCACCATAAGGTAGAAAAGGTTAACAGAGACCTATATATCTCAGGAATTGGATACCTGTAACTCTGTTCAATGACCCTCATGTTTTCCTTGCTTTCTGGAAAAAGAATTAAAACCTAAACTATGGTTTCAGAGTTCCCTCTTTCTAATATTCTGTGTTTTGGGGCCTGCAAGATAATGAGATTTCAGGGAGTTCTTCCATAGACTTCTGAACAGATTGCTGTAGTTTTGAGTTGAATTCCATCTGGAATTTTTATTTTGTTGCGTGGTTGATACTGACCTCCTTTAGTTATTCTCAATTAATCATCAGTCATTATTTAGTTAATCTTTTTCGGTTATAATTATAGTATTTATTGAACTTTGGGGGACTTAATGAATCTATTTTTATATTTCTTCAAACTATTCCCAACAGGAGGGAATGGAATAGCTTCTAGCATCCTCCTTTGAAGCTGGGTGGCCTGAGGAATAACCTCAGTTGTTGTAAGTTTTATTTTTTCAACCCAGTTAAGAGAGTTTTTAGGGAGCCCTATTGACCCCACTCAGAAAATCTGAAGGGAGGCCAGGCCAATTGGTCTCTAGCAAACTAAGTGGTGGCAGCTGCATTACAAACACACCACTCCGACAAAGTAGGCAGAACTAGGATGAAGTCCGACCAGGTGAAATGTTATATAGAAAGCTTAAAGAAGCCTAATTCACCTTCCCTGGACCACTGATTCTTACAAAGTTTAACGCAGGGGAGGAAATAATGCAGCCCAAAACGTTTTACAAATTATGATTCATTTTATGCCATTCACACTTGCTAGAATAAATGCTACATATTTGACATTTATACATTAAATACATAATAAGCAATACATTTCTCACCTTCCTTAGGGAATGCTCATTGAAGGACCTCCAGGACCTCCAGGACCCCCAGTAAGTATATGCTTTCAAAATATAATTTAAATAAAACGAATGATACTATTAACAATGATATTTGCATGACTGCTTCAGGGCTCATACATATATAACATAAATTTCAGGTGAGTACAGATTGTTCTGTCAGGAAATGGTGTTGTTTATCTACCTGTGTGTTTTTGTTTCTGATGGGCAACCATATATTTTGCCAGTCCTTGGATCAAAATTGCTCCTAATCATTGTTGTAAAAAATTATTTAGGATAACTATTATCTATATATTGCCTTTATAGGGTATTTCAGGCCCCGCTGGTATGCAAGGCCCCATTGGTCCTCCTGGTGACCCTGGTGATAGGGTAAGTAAGTCTCCAAGGGTTGCAAATGTGCAGCCCAAGCATGCCAGATTGAATGGCTGGGGATGTAAACAATTCTTAAGGACATGCAACCATTTTGTAATTTCTTACTGTAGCTTAAAGGAATACTCTTGTGTTTTGCAAAACCATTATATAAATAAAATATTTTTCTTGCCATAAGGAATTCAAGAGTTTTTAGCTGATCCATTTCAGGTCAAATCTGACACTCTTCTAATGAGAAATAATGAGATTTTTAGAGATTCTCTAGGATAGGGTTAAATCCTTTTTGTCACTGTGCAGATAGGATACGCAGGGCCTTGGGTCTAAATTCTGCCACCTAAAGGTCATCTCATAGAGTTGGTGAAGGAGATGGGACATCCTGAAGGCTTCGGTTTCTTCAGGTCTCCCCAAAACAAGTCCACATTATTGAATGTGTTCAGGGTGACTGAACGTAAAGGAAAATGTTGTTATCAGTGGTGCAAATGAAAGTCGGAAGACAATTTCCATTATCTAACTTTAATGGATTGCCCAAGTCAGATCAGCAGATGTCTTGTTATTTCTGGGTGACTTTTAGTGATAACAGGTGGATGAACTGGAAATGTAGCTGGCTTTCTCTGTCTGTTTGTTTTGCTTGCTAGTACATCTGAAGGATAACTGTTCACATCTCTTGAGATAAGAGATATCTAAGGCCTTGTTATTAGCCTTCTGATACAACAGATTAGTACGGGTTAATCCATTTGCCCTTCCTGATTTCCCACTTAATCTTTAAATATTAACCACAAATATTTTTAGCATGGTAAATCTGCACCAGTCTTGTTCCCATTATGTCCCTTCTTTGCTTTGTCTTCTGTGTGCTGTAATTGCATTGCAGCATTTTGAGATTTCCAATAACTGATACTTTAAGGTCAGAATTGCATAGATCTTTGGATATTATCGGCATAAAACCACATGCCTATGTAATGATATTTCTGCAACAGTCCACCAATTTATCAAATGTAAAATTGGACTGAAATGACAACATCAAAAGCAAGGCAACTCAGATAATTCCTGGTCTTTGGCAACTGAAACCATTAGTGTGCAATCTGAGAAAACAATATTTTATTAATTTATGATGCCTAGACATTTAGAAAGTTTCTGGAATCTGTGCCTACAGCTTTTTCAGACAAAGAAGAGATAAATACTAGGTCACCTTATGCTAGATGTTGAAGGTACACAGGAGATAAATTGTTGCTAATCTCACCCTTGCCATGCTGTTTAACACTGTAGTTTTGTATTCTGAATGTGTCTCCAGGAGTTGTATATTCATACTTATGTATGTACTTGATGCTTATTGTTGCAAAGAAGATCCTAGCTAAGTTTATTTTCTCCTCAAAATTCCGTGCATGGTGGTCCTTGACTTACAACAGCTCACTTAGTGGCCATTTGCAGTGATGTATTAACCATTAAGCAGACTAAGCATGTGTTTAGGGCAGCAGGCCCAAAGTGGGCACCACAAAAACTTTCATATAGCCTAAGCCTGGCTTCGTTTGTACAGGAGGAGGGCAACAAGAATGGTCAGTGCTTAGGGCACCAGTGAGCCTTAATCCACCACTGGCCATTTGAAATTACAACAGCACTTTAAAAAGTGACTTATGACCATTTTTCAGACTTAAAACCATTGTACCCTCCATATGGTCACCTGATTTACATTCAGATGCTTGACAACTGACTCACATTTATGACAGTTGTGGTGTCCAGGGATCATGTGATAACCTATTGCAAAAGACAAGCAGATTCATGTAAGAGCTGTGTTACTAATTTAACAACTGCAGTAATTCATTTAACAAACGTGGCAAGAAAAGTTGTAAAATGGGCACCACTCACTTTACAAATTTCCCACATAAATGTTGGGGTCAAATTGTGGTCGTAAGTTAAGGACTACCTGTAGCTAGTTTGAAGAGCTGTGTAACAATGTTATGTGCAGTGCCAATTAAATACGTTTAGGATATGACGATGTATGTGTATATAGCTAACAACTTAAGTGATTAGGGAAGCTTTGATTATGTATTTGTGAGTATAATCTGATTTTTAATCTGTACACTAGCACATGCCTGCAATGCTGGTTTAATAAATTAAGGAATTAAAAAATATCCTCAGAATATAGACATTTTAACATTACCTTCATGAACATTAAAGAAAGACGAGTCAGCTGTTTCTAATAATGGTTTGCCAACTTCTTCTAGGAAGCTATTCCTAATTGTTTTGAGATGTTTTTTCTCTTAAGCATATGTGCATTTTATTATTGTGGCTCATAACAATTGAGAAATATATTAACATCCATTTTTATGTAAAAACATAAGAAATGCTTGAGTGTAAACATTCTTAAATTGCATTTCCTGAACCCAGATTTGAACCAGAATACACATTAATAAATGTTGCCATATATTTCACAACTTTAAAAACCAAACAAAAAATATTTTAAAGAAGGAGACACAAAAAGGCATATACCGTATGTAGACAAAAGTATGCTTATATGTGGGAGAGTACTCACAAAATATACATATTCCTAGAATCCACGTATGAAATGAAGAGGAATATGTAGACAGCAGTGTGTGCATTAAAAGAAACATGCACAAATACACACACACACACACACATACATACTGTTGTGGAAATTTTAATTAAAAAACTATAGAAATGAGATGAAATGAACATAAGATGGGATTTAAATCATTCTACTGTTCAATTTGCCACTGTAGTAATTAAACATGCTCTAAGATGTTTCTAATTTCCTGAATCTCTGTTTTGACCTTAGGGTCCACCAGGACGTTCTGGTCTTCCAGGGGCTGATGGCTTACCTGGACCCCCGGGTACCATGTTAATGTTACCAGTAAGTCTTACTTTGCTTTACAAAGGGTACATTTTCAAGCAACAAATAATGCAGTATGATTAACTATTAATATTTCTCTTAATAGATCATCTAGGTCAGTGGTGGGATTCAATTTTTTTTACTACCGGTTCTGTGGGCGTGGCTTGATGGGTATAGCTTGGTGGGCAGGGCAGGGAAGGATACTGCAAAATCTCCATTCCCACCCTACTCCTGGGGGAAGGTTACTGCAAAATCCCATTCCCTCCCCACCCCACTAACCTGCTTTCCAGCTCTGTTCTCCTGTGCAGAGCAACAAAAGAAGACCCAGCCAATCAGAGAATAGATGGGAGTGGGGCCAGTCAGAGGTGGTATTTGCCGGTTCTCCGAACTACTTAAATTTTCCACTATCAGTTCCCCAGAACTGGTCAGAACCTGCTGAATA